GTGAATAAGTAAGTGAGTAAAGGGAGGTCAGTTAGGTGAGTAGGGGTGGACAGGTGGGGGTGGGGTGGGACAGATGGACATATGGATGGATGATGGTTGGATGGATGGGGTAGATGAATAGGGTAAGCAAATGAACGAATATATGGATAGGTGGATAGAAAGTGAAGGGGTGGGTGGATGGTGGCTGGATGCTAAATGGTTGGTAGTAGGTGGGAATGCAGATGTAGTGGGAAGAATGCAGGCTTTGGAGCCTCCCAAAACTAGATTCGAATCCAGTTGTGTAAGCCCGTGGATGGATGGGTGGATGTCTAGAGAGGGGTCCCTGCTTCTGGATTCTGCCTTCTCGTCTCACACTGCACCTGGTGGTAAGTTGCAAGGCGCATGACTTACACCTCGTTTAGACACCATTCTAGGCCTCCAGTACCCATGGTCATAGTATTCTTATGAACACTTATGACCCTCCATAGAGGAGGGGAGACTTGAAACAGCTGGTTCTACTCTTTTTTTAAAAATATATTTTATTCCTTTATTTTGGCTGTGTTGGGTCTTCGTAGCTGTGCGCAGGCTTTCTCTAGTTGCGGTGAGCGGGGGCTACTCTTCATTGCTGTGCGTGGGCTTCTTACTGCGGTGACTTCTCTTGTTGCAGAGCACGGGCTCTAGGCGCACAGGCTTCAGTAGTTGTGGCTCATGGGCTTAGTTGCTTCACGGCATGTGGGATCTTCCCGGACTAGAGTTTGAACCCGTGTCCCCTGCATTGGCAGGTGGATTCTTAACCGCTGCGCCACCAGGGAAGCCCCCGGTTCTACTCTTTGAAATAGCTCTGGCCAGAAGGAGGAGATGAAGTGGCTGAAACTATCCAGCTCCAGAAAGGACTCTGGTCCACCATGCAGTATTGTTTTTACTTTCCGTGACTTACCTCACTGGTGTCCCTTCATTTCAAATCTCCTCCCTCACCCCCTCCAGCTTCACACATTCCAGACCAATCCTTAAAGCCTAGCTCAAAGTCTGCCTCCTGCAGGAAGCCTTCCTTGATCTACACAAGATTTCAGAATCCATCTCTCCCTCATCAGGGCTGTCTCATCCCTTTGCTCCACTCTTTATTATGCAGTCTTTGAAGCTTTATTTTGCGTTATAATCAGGGAAGTTCAGAAATCTAGAGATAGTAATGCTTTCTATGCTATGTTTAGGCATTTAAAAGAAAATCTTAATGGCATTCATCTTTATCTTGCAATTTACCCAGAGAATTGTGGGGCTTCACAGATTGTGAACCAAACAGCAATGTCCTACTTTGGAGTAAAAGCATTTCCCTTTCACTCTCATAGATTTCTTAGTCATTTGAGTGTTCCCTAGTTCCGATCTGATTTTCTCTCCAGAGGTGTCTGAGAGTCTCTGAATGTAGGAGAGGGAATAAAGGGCCAGGGGAGCAAGATTGCCAGGCAATCCCAGCGTTGCTGAGGAAGTCTGACCACCTCCCTTCCTCATCCTAGGCTCTCCCCTCCCTGCTCACTTTGGCCTCTAGATCCAGTGCCTCTGGGCCTCTGGGCCCTGAGCCCTTCTTCACTAGGATGATGTATTTTATCCTGACTACCTTTCCCAGTTGTCCTATCTGGAGGGCTGCAAGCCTCAGAGGCAGAGGCACTGGGCACCTGGTCCTAGTCCCTGCAAGTAGACAAAGGACAGGAGGTTGGGCTTCCCTGGTGGCGCAGTGGTTGAGAGTCCGCCTGCCGATGCAGGGGACACGGGTTTGTGCCCCGGTCTGGGAAGATCCCACATGCCGCGGAGCGGCTGGGCCCGTGAGCCATGGCCGCTGAGCCTGCGCGTCCGGAGCCTGTGCTCCACAACGGGAGAGGCTGCAACAGCGAGAGGCTCGCGTACCGGAAAAAAAAAAAAAGGACAGGAGGCAGTAGCTCCAAGTTCACTGTCTTATAAACGACTTTGTTGCTGCTGGTATTTCACATTGCCTGAAGGACTTGCTCAAATACTGGCATGGTTCCAAACACTAGGCATCTCTGCCAAACACACACACACACACACACAGCATTCCCACCATGCACACACATATACAAGGCATCCCTACCTTGTGCACACACACAGCACACATACGCACACATGACGTCCCCACCATACACACACACACAGCTGTGATCCATCCGAGGCCACGGCTGTGTTGTATTCATCCGAGGATCACCCACAGTGCCCTGCACCTGACAAGTATGTACAGATGTTTGTTGGGTGAAACAACTCTTTCATTTAAATCAGGCAATAGGTCTGCACTCTGTTTGACAGAACATACTAATGTACAAGGTACATTTCAGCTGAAACCTGTGTCTTTCCGAGCAAGGTAGAACTGTAGTTATATTATTTCCAGCCCTGTACTAGATATTTCACGCACATTCTCTCTGGTTCCCCTTAGCCACCTGCCAAGGAAGTGATATAGTCCCCAGTGATAGGAAAACTGAGGCTCAGAAGATAAGCAGCTTGACCCTTTGATCCAAGTGGCTGATGTTGAGATCCAGGGTTTGAGCTGAGTTCTTCCCTATTCTCAAACTTCTCGCTGCTTCCTTAAATGTCTTGGTTTCATTTTTTGCCTGCACGGTCCACATGGAGTGACAGATGTGGGGTAGTGCATGAACCTGCAGTTGAAGATCAGAACGAGAAGTGTGTTGACGTCTTCAATCATGTGGAAAGTGACCAGGTGACCAGCTGTTAGGAGATGCAGTGTACATAGTCCTGCTTCCTCAATGTAAATTGGTGTAGCCATTATGGAAAACAGTATGGAGGTTCCTTAAAAACCTAAAAATGGGGGCTTCCCTGGTGGCGCAGTGGTTGAGAGCCCGCCTGCTGATGCAGGGGACACGGGTTTGTGCCCCAGTCCGGGAAGATCCCACATCCCGCGGAGCGGCTGGGCCCGTGGGCCATGGCCGCTGAGCCTGTGCGTCCGGAGCCTGTGCTCTGCAACGGGAGAGGCCAGAACAGTGAGAGGCCCACGTACCGCAAAAAAAAGAAAACTAAAAATGGTGTTGCTATGTGATACAGCAATCCCACTCCTGGGCATATATCTGGGGAAAACTCTAATTCGAAAAGATACACACACCCCCATGTTTGTGCAGCACTATTAACAATAGCCAAGACATGGAAGCAACCTAAATGTCCATCAACAGATGAATGGATAAAGAAGGTGTGGTACATATATATACAATGGAATATTACTCAGCTATAAAAAAGAATGAAATAATGCCATTTGCAACAACATGGATGAACCTAGAGATTATCATACTTAGTGAAGTAAGTCAGAGAAAGACAAATACCATACGATATCACTTATATGCAAAATCTAAAATATGATACAGGGGCTTCCCTGGTGGTGTAGTGGTTGGGAGTCCGCCTGCCAATGCAGGAGATGCGGGTTCAAGCCCTGGTCCGGGAAGATCCCACATGCCACGGAGCAACTAAGCCCGTGCACCGCAACTACTGAGCCTGCGCTCTAGAGCCCGCGAGCCACAACTACTGAAGCCCGTGCGCCTAGAGCCCATGCTCCGCAACGAGAGAAGCCACCGCAATGAGAAGTCCATGCACCGCAATGAAGAGTAGCCCCCACTCGCCGCAACTAGAGAAAGCCCGCGCACAGCAACGAAGACGCAACACAGCCAAAAATAAATTAATTAAATAAATAAGTTTTTAAAAAATATATGATACAAATGAACTAATTTACAAAACAGAGACAGGCCCACAGACATAGAAGACAAATTTATGGTTACCAAAGGGTGAAGGGAGGGAGGAGGAATAAACTAGGAGTTTGGGATTAGCAGTTGTAAACTACTATAAATAAAATAAACAACAAGGTCCTACTGTATAGCACAGGGAACTATATTCCATATCCTGTAATAAACCATAATGGAAAAGAATATGTAAAGAGTAGATAGGTAGATAGATAGAGATACATATAGACATATAGCTGAGTCACTGCTGTACACCTGAAACTAACACAACATTGTAAGTCAACTATACTTCAAGAAAAAAAATTTTTTTAACATCTTTATTGGAGTATAATTGCTTTACAATGGTGTGTTAGTTTCTGCTTTACAACAAAATGAATCAGTTATACATATACATATGTTCCCATATGTCTTCCCTCTTGCGTCTCCCTCCCTCCCACCCTCCCTATCCCACCCCTCCAGGTGGTCACAAAGCACCGAGCTGATCTCCCTGTGCTATGCGGCTGCTTCCCACTAGCTATCTACCTTACGTTTGGTAGTGTATATATGTCCATGCCTCTCTCTCGCTTTGTCACAGCTTACCCTTCCCCCTCCCCATATCCTCAAGTCCATTCTCTAGTAGGTCTGTGTCTTTATTCCTGTCTTACCCCTAGGTTCTTCATGACATTTTTTTCCCTTAAATTCTATATATATGTGTTAGCATAAAAAAAAAATTGTGCTCCCTTAACACAGTTTGTCATAGGGTGGTTTGTAAGTCTGGGTGCTCATCTGTTCAGATATTTCCTTGTGGGACAATTTGATCACTGTCCCTCTTCCCCATCAGGTGATAAGCTAGATGAGGACAGAGAACCTGACTGCTTTGCTCGCCAGGGTTTCCTCTGCTCCCTGGCATGGTGACTGGTCCATCAGTGGGCATTCACTACACATACATGCGCGAATAATGTGTGGGACACGCCCCTTTACCTACTGTGTGAACTTAGGCAAATTATATACATGATCTCCTGTGGACTTCACAAGGAGCCGTGATGTAGGTATTACTATCTCCATTTTACAGATAGAGAAACCGAGGTTCTGGGTGTTGAGTAACTTCAGATCCACACCTGAGCTGGGTGTGGATCCCAGCCTGCCAGGCTGCAGACACAGCATTCTCGCCCCCTCAGGGGTTGTGCTTCCCCAGGCCAGCGCGACATGCAGGCTCCTCGGTCGCCCTGCTTCCCCAGCCGTGTCCCTGGACATCCCCCGCTCCACATCACTAACTTGGGTCTCTGCTGTGCTTGTCTGCAGGCTGAGGAAGCAGCAAGGGCAGAGCGGCCAGCTCTTGGACACAGAAGGCCGAGCCGGGAGCCAGGCCCAGAGCAAGCTCCAGGACGGGTGTAACAACAACATCCTGGCTCACGCCTGCTCCCGCAGTTGCAGCAGCTAAGCCACCACCTGTGGCTTCCAGCGGGACTGCACACACCTCTGCCCTGCCCACCAAAAGCCCCTCTCTGTGCCACGATGGTCCCTGCCTCACCTCTAATAACATCAGAAGCAGAGAAGGAACCCTGGGCTCGGAGCTGGGGAGCCTGGGTTCTGGTCCCAGCTGCCCGGCTGATACCTGCTTGACTGTGGACAAGCCTTGCCCTTTCTGTGCCTCAGTTTTCCTCATCTGCCAAAGGGGTTAAACAGCTCTCTGCCCCACCTCTAATTACAAGGTTATTCAAAGAATCCAATTGGGTAGCGGACATGCAAAACCTTTATAAAGTTGTTCACGTGGGCAAAATAAAACCTTAATATTTGAAGTGCACTCCCCTCCCCCAAAGCAATTAGACCAACACAACTTTGCAATTCGGTCCATCCTGACTCTTAAGACAGTACTTTCGAAAATGCAGCCCTCAAACATCTGATGTGTTAGCCCAGCCTATGGAAACACCATTCCCGGATCCTGGAGCTAAGCCGGAAGTGTCTTCTTTTGCCTTCTCTGTCAGGCCAGTCTTTCTGACCTTCTAAGATGGCTCTCCACCATCTCCACCTTTAATTTCAGTAGGTCTCCACTCCCACCCCACCCCTGGTGCTGGGATGGCCCGTAGATGCCCATTCAGAAGGTCGTCACTGACCGTCAGTCTCTCCTATAGAGTATCAGCAGAGTTCCTCCCAAAACCCAGTCCCACAGCAGAACTCTGAGTCGCCGTCCCCTTCCAAGTTTTCTTTCCTGAAAAGGGGTTATGTCATCTCATCGGCATTGTCTTAAAGAGGGTCTCCAACTGCCATCCAGGAGGCTGCTCCACCTGATAAATTAGGAAGCACAGGTGGTTAGAAAGTGTAGGAGGACGGTGGGCTCACACAAAGAGCAAACTACTTTATGGTCTGTTCAGGGAGCACTTTGTCTTTGAAGTGGGAGATGCTGTAGCATAGGGGATACAGCTTGGACTTGGAACAAGGACTGTGTCCAGAATCCAGCCCTGCTGTTTACTAACCAGAAGACCTCAGGCAAATCACGTAATCCCTTGAGTGTCAGTTTCCTCGTTTTAAAACGAGGATAATAAAACTAACCCTTGAGTTAAAAAAAGATCCTGTGTGTGATATACCCAGCACACAGTACTCTGTGAATGGTAGCCGGTTTGGGTCTGCATTATCATCAGCATCATTTAAAGAAACTTTCCTGTTTCATTCATTTGGCAGTCAGTTCTCTGTAGAAACAAGCCTGGTGTTTAAGATTCTTTGAACTTTTCATCCTGGAGTCTCTGATATCTGTACATTCCTCTGAAAGTTCAATTGTGTTTTTATTTTGCATCCAACTTTCACTTTTTACCTCATAAATCAATCCTTGGGACTGTCAATGCCATCTCTTAGATTTCTTAAGAGACATTTTAATGTATTATGTGGTTTTATATTTTTATTTGAAAAAAGGAAAGAAATGATTATTGTTTTCCTGCTTCAAACCCAGGCTATTTCTAGATGGTGTTGCCCACGTGTCCACTTGTCTTGCACACTTTTCATTCGTTGATTCCCGTTGGCACCATCCTGTCCCCTCCAGGAAATAACGGGGCTGCTTCTCTCTTCACTGTGACCCTGGCAGCACTTAGGGCCCCTCACTGGGTTGAGTTCATGAATTAGGGGCGGGAGCTGGAAGTAGCTCAAGATGCTGGATTTCCTGGCTCTGTTCAAGTTAGCCTTGTTCGTTGTTCAGAATAAACTATTTCTTGGCCATTCCTTCCTACAACTTTGTTCTTATTCAGGGTTGGGTTGGATGGGCAATGTCCCCTCAAAGACAAGTTTAATGAGGAACATAGAGACTGGGGGCGGGGAGGTGGGAAGGATTTCAAGTCAGTGATGTGTTTACTTTGCCCACAGAATAAAACCAAACTTGGCAATTCAAGGCTCAATCAGCTTGATCACAATTCATGTTATCATCATCACCATCATCAGCAGCATCATCATCATCACCAACATCATCATCACCATCACCATCACCATAATCATCACCATCATCATCACCATCATCACCATCATCAGCAGCATCATCATCATCACCATCACCATCATCATCACCATCATCACCATCATCATCAGCATCATCATCATCACCATCACCATCATCACCATCATCATCATCACCATCATCATCATAACCATCATCATCACCATAATCATCACCATCACCATCATCATCACCATCATCACCATCATCATCAGCATCATCATCATCACCATCATCATCACCATCATCCTCATCACTATCATCATCATAACCATCATCATCACCATCATCACCATCATCCTCATCACCATCATCATTGCCATCTTATCATTATTTAAAAAAATACAGAAGATTCTCCACCTAAAGAAAAACACTCTTAAAATCTCAAATTACTGCTCAAACCTTTATATAGCACACACATGGATGCAAATGAACAGTAACTGCTCTACTGTACAGATTCTAACTTAACTTGCTGCCTCCCTGCTTTTGCCCACCCTGCCTTCCCTACCCAGGATGCCTTTCAACTCCCATCTCTACGTGTTAAAATACGTGCCTCTCATGGGCCAATTCCACCTTTCCCATGATGCCTTCTGGGTCTCATGGCAACCCTAACCCAAGCCAGGTGTAATCTCCTCCACACACCCTCTCACGCATTTTCTGTGACTTTCTCGCAGCTCTGATTGCTGCCAACTGCACAACAGGGTTACTTTCACCCATGGCTCATCCTCAAGCTCCTATGAGAGGTCTGATTCTTGTGCCTATCTCCTCTCACCCTCCATCTTCCGGTCCTAACAGCGCCTGTTTCACAGGAGGTAATCAATAATTTGGAATGAATGAGATAAATGCAAGCCCAACACAAACTCTCCAAGTGGGTGAAGCTTGCTTTTTGGCAGCCTCCTGTCTGGTCCCACTGCCACCTCCCCTGCTTTTTTTTTCTCTCTTGGTCCCAGTGGTTTCCCAGAGGCTGCCTCCCCCTGAACCACCAATGAGGTACCCAGTCCCCACCCCAATCCCCCTAAGAGCATATCTCCTCAGTCTCAAGTTCCAAATGAGTTTTCCCTTCTCCCTCATCCAAACCCCCATTCCCAGAGTACAGAGCCCCAGGCCAGTTGTTGGAAAAGCAGTCCGATCAGAGAAACATGTATCCAAGCAAGAATTCGCATTAGGAATCACCTTATGATTTGGGATTCAGGCACAGAGGGACAAGCTGTAAATCGGTAACACTGACAGGGCTTTCCCACCTCCACTGAGATATAACTTGGGCTTCTCGTGACAGTAAGTAAAAATAGGTCACGTTTATAGTAATAGTAACGCCAAGCTGCATGCTCTGAGTCCCTTCCCACTCACTGGCAGAAAGTACAGTATATTGTCCGAAATCCTCCCCAAACTGGCCTGAGCGACCACAGCATAATTTCCTGTTAGCCAGAAGGGCCCCCTCCCCACCACTGGGGAAAAGGGGATCCCCTATGAATCCTCAGTGCCTACGGCTGTTGTCATTCTGCTGTGTGGACCATCCTGGTTCCTGGCCACCATGAGCCGTGACCCTCACCTACAGGCTTCTGCCAGAACACCAGCTGCACCCCTTTTCTTTCTCTCCAGCCTCTAGAGACACAGCCTGGACTTCTTAAAATCAGCTCTTCTAATGCTGGTTCCAACGCAAAGCTCTTTAGCTGTAGGCAACTCAGTGCTTGCCTTTATGCCTCCTCCCCTCACCTTCTCAGAATACATGATGTGGCTGGTCCTGGGACGGTCCTGTGCAGGGACACACTGACCCTGGGGTCCCTGCCTCCGGGTGCTCCCTGGCCCCCTTGCCAGGGCTTATCTCTCAGCTTTCTTCAGGGACCCCTGTCCATCAGACTCACCTCCGCTCCCGTCATGGGTTGGTCCGCTTCCCTTTCCGGGGTCCTCGGCCCACACAGAAATCAGCTCTTGAGGCAGGCAGCAGCTTCCATGTGCTGAAGTCTCCAGCGATGGCTGGGAGGCTGCTCCCCACTGGACACACTGGTCCTCTCTGGGGTGGGCATGAGCCCACCCAGTCTGATACTGGCCCAGCGAGAGCTGGCTCTGCAGTGGGAGATTTGGCTTCAAATCGTGGCTCCACCATTCACTGTGTGGCCCCACTGGGAGGCTCTCAGACACATCTCTGAGTGTCAGATTCTGCACCCATGAGCAGGGCCTGGTAATTCCTGCTCTGCCTTTTTTTTTTTTTTTTTTTTTTTTTTTTTTTTTTTTTGCGGTACGCGGGCCTCTCACTGTTGTGGCCTCTCCCATTGTGGAGCACAGGCTCCGGACACGCAGGCTCAGTGGCCATGGCTCATGGGCACAGCCGCTCTGCGGCACACGGGATCCTCCTGGACTGGGGCACGAACCCGTGTCCCCTGCATCGGCAGGCGGACTCTCAACCACTGCGCCACCAGGGAAGCCCCTGCTCTGCCTTCTTCATACAGCAGTTATGAAGGTCAACTTCAGGGCTCTAAGCGGGCGCACGTGTTAACTCGTGGAGTGCCGTGTAAAGCTGAAGTCCTCACCGTGCAGGGCATCGCTTCCCACTTCATGAAGCTCTTCCCACACATTGTCCAAGTTGATCTCTGCAGACAGCGGTCTCCACCACCCACCCCCTTCGTAAGCCCTCCATCTCTGTCCCTTCCCATGCAGCCTACTTCAGGCTTCGGATCAAATAGCTACCACTGACCTTCCCAGAAGCCACTACAAAGACCAGGCATGAAGGGAGCCCAGTAGGCAGTGCCCCAGCCTGTTCCTCCCCCAGGAGTCCCAAGAGAGGCCAGAGCTTAGAAGGATCGAGAGGTGGGAATACACCCTTATTCCATGCCCATTCTCTGCCAGGAACTTCACATGATTTTAATTCTATGGAGTATGTGCATTTTAGAGATGAACAAAACAAACTCTTCAGAGCACCTGTAATTTGTCTGAGGCCACCCAGCTACTTGGTGGTAAAGTCAAGATTTGAACTGTCTGCCAGTATCCAAACTTCACGAACTTTCTATTACATTGTGGAGACCCCACAGGGTTGGCTTGGGGGTGCCCTTCCCAATCTCTCTTAGTATCACAAAGCCACCCCATAAAGGTG